TAAGGCTATGCTTATGGAGTTCCCCTGTGGTGGGACCAGCTTTATTTGAAATATCCAAAAAAAAAAAAAAAAACACCCTCCCTCTTTCCCAAATAAGATCTTCTAATGATGAAAAGCTGTGATAAAAAGCTTTCAGTGGGCTTTCTTCCATTTGCTGGATTTATAGGAGCAATAGCAGCCTTAAAACATCTGCCAAATCATTCTACTTTTCAGTTTTGATTATCTGTCTGTTAGTTTGAGGTTAACTTTAACTATACAGATGCAAGAAGTGAGAAAGCCATTCAACTCTAGATTTATTCTTAAGAAGTACCGGCTGTCTAAAATAAGGCCATAAAAGGTAGGCTCCCTGTCTGGTTTGTTGTATGGTTGCATGGCTTTGTGCTATTAATTGCAACCTGGCTAACAGGTGCTTGCCAATGTCTTTATATTCTCCCCGTAAGAAAGGATTATATTTCCATCTGGATAAAAGGCTGACATTGTCTTTTAAAAAGGAAGTTAAAAACAGCACAGAGAGGAAGTCCACTCTTCTCCACAAGCACCACAAATTGAATCATGGCTCACTAATAAGAATACGGCCTTTCCTCTGCTCTGACAGACCAAGAGAGGGAAGGGCAAAACCACTAATGTGACCTTTTTCCCCATCCCCTTAAACCTCTGTCAGGTGTAAGGCAGCGATGAGTTAGACCCACCACGGGCAGTTTTTCCTCCCAGTGCTCAAGAAAAGCACTTACACACAACGTGTAGGGGTATGAGAAGCCCCAAGCACTTAAAAATTCACCATGGGCTCACTCTTGCCGTGCACTCTCCGAGCACGGCTGCAAAGGACTCGCCCTGCTCTGCCTGGGAGAGCTCTCCTCTCAGCTTCATTATCCCTTCATCTCTCTTCTGTCATCAGCTGGGAACACCTCTTCCCAATCTTTTGTTTTACCTCTTAATTTCTACCTTTTTCCCATGCCCTTTGGTAGCTGTGCAACCCCATTGCCTAATGCTGGCAGCCATTTGTGAAACCATTTGTGTGCATGAGAAACGCTACAGGAAAACTGCCATGCTAAAATACAAAGGCCCCATCTGAAGGCATCTGCTGCTCCTTGGAGCAATAGCTCCGTCCTGAAGCTACAGGAGTTTGACATCCAAGGCTCTCAAATTGCCAAGGGGGGCCTCTTGGCACAAACATCATTTTAACCGTTAGACAAACAGTTTTCCTGCCTATAAAGCGAGGGAGTTCAGACTATTTGCAAATTCATGGCCCCAGATCAAATTCTACATTGGATCTTGCAAGCTACATGTGGCCTCTCCCATTCCAAGCCAGGGCACGTGACACCGTGAAAGGCAGGGCCGTGCTCCACGTATCTTCAATACTAATTTATCTTCCCAGAGCAATGCAAATTCTGGCTAACTTTGGGTTACCCAGATAAAAAGGAGAGCCCCTACCACAGCCTTCTAATCCATTTATCTACCTCCTGTTAAGACTGATCTTGAAGAAATTCCTGACATATTTTATCTACACAAATTGCAGTAATAAGTGTGATTTCTGAAAGCGCTTACTAGCCTGTCCTGCTCACTTGAATCTTTCCTTGCACCCTTAGGTCCAATCTTCTTCGGGGGTAATTCACATCTAATTAAACATTCTTGGCCCTTTGGATTTTTATCTCACAGATACACTGCACCCTGCTTGTAAAAATTCCATCCCTGGCCGCCAAGGGACTCGAGTTATTCCCAAGAGGAGTCACTAATTGGAATAACTATGCAGCACATAGTTATAACCCGGTGCCACCCCTCTGCAGGGATGCCCAAGCACTGCACCAACTCTCACCCAGCGGATCACTTACCAGCAACCGGCGCCGAGCCGCCCTTGGAGGCACCGCGATCCACATAACTGCTTTGCAAATGCGAGGCAGGTCTGAACACAGCATGTTTTTAAGGACTCCTGGGTGCAAAGTCATGAATGCAATTCACCCCTCTCAAAACATGGCTTGAGCCCCTTCCAAAAGACGCAGCTCCTGCCTCTCTTTGTTCAGAGTTACCCTGATGCCCGTTATGAGCTCCTGCAAGCGCAGCAATAGCACATGCAATTCTGCTCCCCAGAGCGATGCCAGTCCCAAGTTTTCGGCCTCATCTGGCACGGCCGGTGCCACTGAACAATTTTCGACACCAGCTGGGGCCCAGATTCAGCTCTGACTCGGAGGGGAGAGTACTCGGGCCTGAAACTGTCGAGAGCAGTTGCTGCTGACGAAACACTGCAGGCGGCCAAGGCAACATGGCAGCTTGACCTGCTCTCCCTGGCTTTAGCCATTGGGAACGGCCTCCCTCCCTCGTCCTGCACGGCCGCATACCAGCTAACGTGCTGGCCTTGGGTTCCCCCTCGCTCTCCGCCTTCCCCAGCGCCCATGGGAGCAGAGAGAGCAGCGGCAACGGAGGGAGCCAGATCAGCCTGGAGGGAGAGAGAAACAGCCGCTGGCTGAAGCGAGAGCAAGGCCCTGGCAATCGGCGTTTGGCCTCTGCTGGGGACCTGTGCCGCAAATGGCAAACAGATTTTGGATTTACTGCTTCTCCCAGCCAGCCTGCCCCACAGGTACACTGAGGGGTTTAATGCAAAAATAAATAAATAAAATACATCTTATTCTGGTTTGGGAAGCAGGATTCCAGCAAGAGGGGTCTAGAAATGGAGACAGGAGGAATAAAAGATCTTTTCTTCCGCATTTTCCTCGCGTTGTTGGGAAGGTGCTTTACAAAGGAAGGATTTTGCACCAGCTTCCCCGGGGCAGTGATGTTAGGCTGGCCAGCCCACAGGAAAAGCAGAGCACAGCAGCGTAGTGTGAGGGGCAGGACAGTTTAGGGAGGGATTTCACCGAGTCAACCCACTTGAAAACACTGAGAAGCATCAGGGGAGAAAAAAAAAGTCATCCAAAATCTCACACCAGAAGACATGCAAGCACTGCTTGAGGCTATGCCTGCATTTGAACTTTGAAGCTTGGGCCCCTCTGTTCAACATCGTGGCCTGAAGCAAACCTCTGACCCAAACACTCCCAAAATCTCCAAATGTGTGGATTCACAGCTGCATTTTACTGCTTCTGTCAGCAACAGGTTTGTTGGTAACTACTCTCTTGATTGTCACCCCCGCCTCCATACATCTATTTATTGGTAAGTTTTTGTGTGCTTTTTTTTTCCCTGATATTCCTCCATCCATCCAACTCTGATCTCAGTGAGAGGAAACTCTTGAGCATTTCCTCCAACAGATATCTCTGGCAGGGATTAAAATGTTAGTAGGGAAAATTGTCTTTTGACACTCTATTTTTCTCTTCTTTTTGGAGAAGAGGATGTTCAGGCTATAATAAAAGGGCTGAAAACTGCATTAATCATTATTAAACCATTAGAGTCAATTGGCAAGGCTAGGACTGGCTGCTTCCACTCCTTTCCCTTAATGCCCGGCACCTTTTCCTTTCCCCTTCTCTTTCCTTTTCTGTCACTGTCTTCTGGAAGCAGCAAGCTCAGGCCCAGCAGACTGGGGTAGAGGATGACAGGGGAACACACATTTAGTCCAATTACATGTTGGCACTACGTTCAGTCTTTCCAAAAGCACGTAGGAAACTCTAACCATCACGCTGGCAGCTGCGGATGGATGCCTCCCCATTTACATCTCCTTTCTTCGAGCCACAACGAGAGGAGGTATTAATTGTCATCAAGTGCCTTGCCACAAACCCCTCTTCAGTATCATTCACAAATGCTCCACTAAAACCTTTAGTCTTTGAGCAGATCACTTTCCTAATCCCACGTCGCTGATGAGTTTTGGCAGAGATAAAAAGCAAACCGCATTCACCTCTGACAACTCGCCCTCACTTTCCTTTTCCAGCTGTCGCACCAATACGCAAAATCTGCAATGGTGCTCCCTGCTGAAAGCCGATGCATAGTTCCCTCAAAAAACGCCGCTGCATCGTTCCCTCAAACCATGGCTTGGCTAACGGGGCTTTAAAACAAATAAAGCAATGCACACGAGCCTTGCACACATGGTCCAGACATGACCGTGAGTCACCTACACTACCGAAAAGCTGTTGTTCCTCAAGGAAGATCTGCACTTAAAAACAAGTACCCTGAATATCAATGCAGCCTCCGTCTCGCTTGCACAAGCCATCCTGCTGGCACCAGTGGAGCCTGCCGTGCAAGCAAAATGGGAAAAACAGGGAGCCACTCCAGACAGGATTACAACCCTGACAAAACACAGCAGAAGTTTAAATTTGGGGTAAGAAAGCAGCAGCTGAAGAGGGTGGGTGCAGTTTGGTTCTCTCCCTCTTTTTTTAAAGCAACTCTTTTCTTTTTGCCCCTGAGAAAACTCCCTTAAAAATGAATGCCACTAGTCATACAAGTAAGTGGATTAAGGGTCCGTTTACAGTATTTTTAAATTAAATAACAAAAAAATGAAGTTTGGTAGAATTCATGAAATTCATACCTCAGATACTTTCCAGAGTGGCTGGAAGGACTTAAGGAACTAAACAGAATGGTGCCAAATAACCTTAAGTGCCTCCTTCCTCCAAATTCACTGCAATATCCAAATCAGCAGCATACTTCCATGCCCCAGACGTGCATTTAGAGCTTTGACTAGATCTGACCCCAAGTTAAGGGCCAAGTACACCGAGACACGTCCCCAGCTGATTTCACCTAAACTGCATGGAAGAGAAATTGGTCCGCGGTAACAAGCTCCCGACCGAACATTTATGGAGTTGCACATTAATGCAGACACTGCACAAAGCAGACGCGCATTTGTGCCTTATTTATGCTGCCAGAATTGCCATGCGAGCTGTCAGAAGAAGGAAAGGAAGAAAGCAGATCATCTTGTTTGTAATAAGGGTTTGCTCCAGTGAGTTTAAAATGTGCCCTGGGTGCAGGTTTACACACACTATTCATTGGAGATTGCCTGGCACTTCTCAGTTTTGCAAAGGAAGGAGAGCTCACCGGAGCAGGGGGTCAAGATAAACAGGCTTTGCTGCCGCTACATGTATCGGTACCTGCACGATGGGGTGGCCCCCAGCAGATGCCTTCACAGCCCCTCGGCTTCCTTCTGTCTCGTAATGAGCTCGGTGATGGGATTTCGGCTGCACTTCGATGCGCAGTTCATAAGGTCCTGAGTGAGATGGCAGCTGCCAATCAAGGGCAGGCAGGGACGGGCTGTAATGGAAAGGAAAAACGTATTAAAAATTAATGTCAAGTACTATCGCAAGCCACAAGCATCCAGCTCTATTACTTTAGAGACCATGTTTCGCAGTTCATCCTTCACCATCTTACATTTTAAATGTTATCAATATGGATAATGCCATGACATAAGTAATTTAGAAGGTATCGGTTATTTTATGAAGATTTATAGGACAAGCATATTTGATGGCCCAGATGCTACTGAATTTATAAACAAAGTGGAAAAATGTTCAAGGCACAACTTACAAACATCTTACTACATTGATCCTGAATCTAAAGGACAAAAATAGGCAGAAAGACGCAGAGGAATTTAAGACAGAGTATTTCCACTGCACAAGTAGATGCCAAGTGAGCTCTGGAGAAGTTCTGCATTTGATTAATCTAATGGAGTTGAACAAATCTGCTTAGTTTACACAAATCTGCTTAGTTTACATGGGGGTGGAAGACGGGATGGGGAAATGACACAAAAAGAACCATTTTCTAGTTCTCTTCCAAACGTGAAAACACATCACAGATTCTCAAAATGAAGTTGTTGGTGTGTTTTTTTTCTTCTGGTCCATGTGCTCCAAAGAAGAAAGATTTGAAGCCAGTTACAAATCCTACTAATGATGACGCACGAGCCAGAAGAGAACCCAGCTCACTCTTCCGGCTCTCTATTGACTCTGCAATTACAAAAATATTAAGGACTCATTACTATCACAAAAGCAAGCAGACCTGACAGCATGCATTGCTGGCCAAGTGTCATTCTTAGAAACCCACTTTTGAAGTAAAACCACACTTGAAAGTTTATAAAAAAAAAAAAGACGGCTGTTTAGGAAAAAAAAAAAAAAAAAAAAAAAAAAAAAAAAAAAAAAAAAAAAAAAAAAGGTTAAAACAGTGTTGGGCCTGATGCAAGTTTATTGATTCTAAAACCTAAGCAAAGAGCTTTGTGATGAAAACATTAGTTTTATGGTTAGGCTATATTCTTTCTCCTGGTAAGGCCTCCTCACTGAGTGCTCCTCACACACTTTCACGACCAGCAAAGCAGCACAACAGTGACATATTACCCTGCCCTTCTCCACAGTGCTTTAGCACTTACTCCATCAGCCTGCAGGGGAAGGAGACCGAGCCGAAAATCACAGTCCTCAGACCTTTTGCTGCTGCCCCGTGCTGAGGCGCTAGCGCCAGGCAACGCTGTTTGCAGAAGTCACTGCAGTGATTTATGGCACTCGGCAGCCGCCACTCCCAGCCCCGCGGGGCCGGGTATCACTCGGAAGCAGCGGGCACGCCAGCGGGGATGCGCGTGCCACGGATCAGGATTACCTGCCCCGGTCAGCGGGTTGCCTCTTAGCAATGAGGAGGGAGCAGGGCTGCTCGAGATGCAGCAGCCCCTGCCTCGCTGCATAAACCCTGGCACAAGGAGGACTTGGGTAGCACGAATCACAGCTGAAACGAGCTGGCTCCGAGGGAGGGAAAGGAAGCGAAGGAGCTTCTGCGCTGGATGCCTTTATTACAAGCACATGTTCAGCTGGAGACTGAATGCTCCACTTTTCTAACCCAGCGATCCATTCGCTACCCCGACACTTTTGCAGATCTGCAGGCACTGCTCTCCTATCCCCCCAAATATCTCTAATGTCTCTCACTGAGTGGCAGAGGTCCCACAGCTTGGTGCACAAGATTAAAAAGTGCACAAGTCATTTTCGGTTGTGGTAGAAGACCCCAAATTTATCATTCCATCCTTTATCACCAGCCTAATGTACAGCCACTTGTACCCGCCAGGGCATCCATACATGGTGGGACTTTAAGTAGTACCAATAGCTCTCATTATTTTTTCCCCCACATGAATTATCTTTTCTTGTTTACTTGCAAGTTTGCCACAAACTGAAACACGTGATTTGAATGCCTACACGCACACATTACATACATTACCAAAGCATGCAATTTTTGTAAGAAAATCTTGAATCTTTGCTACGGACTGTGCCCCTGATGAGAAAGGCACTACACAAAGGGGGCTCTCTGCATTTCTAAAACTCATTTCTACTCCTCACAAGCATCAACTGCTCAAACCCAATGAACACCCTGGACATTATCTCACTGTGACTGTCGGATGACAGTGAGCGGAGCCTTCTGGGGGGGCAACCACAGCCACTAACCCCAGCCCTCAGCAAGCTGCATACACCGAGTTCTGAGTTATGCTCCTTTCCAGCCTCCAGCATCACTTGGAGCATCTGCAAACACATCCAAGCAAGTTCTCACACGTGCAATCAAAACAGCATGTGCAACAAGAGGCATCAACCCCTGGTGCTCACTCAGCCACCACCTAAAAGTTACAGGTAATCAGCCACTCTAGAGAGCCGCTATTATCTGTCTAGTGCATTATGCAGACATCTTTTCGTCTGGCAAAAGAAAAAAAAAAAAAAAGGGAAGAAACTCTCAAAAAAAATCTCTGGAGAAGCCACATTTGACTAATGATAAATGACAAAGAGCAGAGCAAAACAGCTGTGTCTCTCCTGGTGATGATCAGCACACATTTTTAAACAGATGTTTCTGTTTTTAAGTAAATTCTCACTTGATGGATCTTTTTTTTTTTTTCCTGAGGACACAATGTACATTAGATTAAAAACTTTTAACACTTAATTTAAAAGGACAACTCCAACCCACAGTATGCAATCCTCAAGTGAAAAGTTTTTTTTTTTTTTTAAGATATCTGGAACTTATAATCACACCTTTAAAAAAATAAAGGATCAAGTGAGCACCTGATGTCAGTACAATTAAGATATTAAACTAATGTTTTCAAATAAAGGCTCAAAATAAGAGTGTGGTTTGCTGCTAGCCTGTAATCTATCATCAGAATTCCAAAATATCACCTGACCAATTATAAATTGACATTTAATGGCAGTTTTCCTGATAAAGGAAGCAGCATGATGCATTTAACAGTGTCATGGGCTGGGGCTGTCATAGCTATTTCCTAAGTTAGGTTATCTTCATCATGCACTTAATTTCCTGCTGCTAAACGTGGTTAAAGGAGAAAAAAAAAAAAAAAGAAAGGAAAGAAAAAGTCCCTGAGCAAATGGCATAGTGCTAAAATGTAAATCTGGTTGTCACAAATAAACCCTTATCAATTTGAAAGGGCCCAAGCTATGTCAACGAGTCAACACCACGAGGAGGGCGGAAGAGCCCCTCCGCAGGGGGCAAGAAGAAGTCTTCAAGCAGTCTTCAAATCAGACAGACATTGGTGCCTTTCCCTTAAAGTGAATTTTCTGTCAACTGAAAGTCCATCCCATTCCCTTCTACACTGTAATAAAAAAAATCTTACTGTAATCCGTCTAAACGTGATAATGAGGGATGGTTGTTTCCAGGCAGGTTCACAAAACGTGGTGCTAGACCATAGAAAACGCACTCAGCGTAACTCGGTCCTACCCAAATCAGATTACAAACCAGATGAATAGTGATTTATTTTGCATACACCAGATACACAATATGATTAAATCAAAAACAGATTATCCAGTCTGGCTGACTTCTGCTGTTAGCAGAAAGATTTATCAAGTCACCAGGAGGAGGAAAAAAAGGGAAAAAGATATTAAGCAGCACACTGGAATACAGATCAGCAAGAACCAAAACCCAAAACTACCAGTAAACTTTGCAAAGGTGCTCAAGTCCTGTTTTCACAAAGCAGCTGTGTCTTTAGGATTTAAATTGCCATTAGACTTCCATTGTTCATACTACTAGAAGCCCAAGGCCACCTGAAAAATTGTGCTTTACCAGCACTTCTGTCCTTACCTAGGCTGCTGCATGCAGAGGCACTACTCTGCCCTTCCTAACCGGGAATGTTGCGCAAGGAAAAGAGCGTACAAGAGACATAGCAGCATCACTGAAACTTTTACCGGGCAGGGAGGTTTGCTTTTCCTCCCACGCTCCCATCTGACAGCCGAGTGATCCAGCCACGAGCTGCAAAATAAGACGCTGTGCCCCAGGCCAGGCTTGGCCGCACTTCGCTGGTGCGGGGAGCAAGCAGCTCCTCTATCTCCCTCACTGGTATCTGCTCGAATGCTTCGCGCTGATGCCTAGACGTGAGCTGTCACAGGTCATACTTAGCACTACCCTCCCAAAAGTCAACGTTCAAAGGAGGATTTGCACAGGAAAGCGCCCCTTTGGTGACAGGCAGAAAGGGAGATAACGGGTGGCTTGTGTGGCGCCTCAGCTCCCACTCTAGTACTGCGCGAGGCTAAAACGAGACCCTGAGGGAAGGAGCACTAGAAGAAGCTTAGGGGACATTTCCAATGAACTGAAAAATAGGCAGGAGAGTGTGGAGGGATTAAAAAATAATAATAAAATAATAATAATAAAAATAATACAGTTTACATGCTCCCAAGCAGTTCTCAGCTTCGCGTGAGGGCAGTCCAGCAAGAACACACCAGCTACCTCGGCAAAGCATCAAAATACCCCATCCAGCAAGAATTTAGTAGGACAGAAAGAGGTTAGAGGCCCCATGGCTCATCCCCAACCCCAATTAACACTAAAGGGCCCTAGGGGACGGTCGCTGACGTGTAGCCGCTTGTGCCCAGCTTAAGGGGTCGCGGCCGGACAACTCCGCGTTTGCTTTGTCTGAGCAACTTCCTCTCATTTGCCATAAAACGGAGACATTCACCTTGAATGTGCCGCGCGCGCAGCGGACCTGGATTGCCTGCGCTCGTGACTACCTAAGTAAGGATTATCTTCCGCCTTCAGAGACTCCAACTGTGCAAAAATTTTCCCCAAGGGAAGTTGTTCCATACCTCACTATCTTGCACCGAAACTTCTAAAAATATATGTAATAATAATACAAAAATACAAAATACAGAAAGAGGCAGGGGAATGAAAAAAATCCATAACATTTCCTTTGATTTAAAAAAAATATACATATTACAAGTTTAAGGGTTACTGAATTAGTTTGGAATGCTCCAGTTCAATCCCACCACAGTCACAACAGTTGAATCCAAAAAAAATCTCCAAAAAAAAATAAACAAACAAATCCACTGAGACAGATAGAAACCAAATATGCTCTTGCCAATGGTAGACAGGTATCCAACCCTACATTCACTGGATGTAAATTATAGCTTCCATATGTAAAAATATATGACACTACGTATGTGGGTTCAAGAACATACGTGTACATTTTTGAGGCTGAAAGAGAGACTGTGGAAAAAAAATGATTTTCAAATATTAAAAAGGGGGCTTTCAATTTTTTAAAAGTGGTGTAAGTAGGGAGCTTTCATAAGCCACCTGGAGCTGGGTGTCTTTTCCTGGAAACGCTTTTTAGTGTGGTAGACCTCATACGTGCCATATAACTGACCAAGAAACCTAACCGTCTCTCTTCTCTTCCTCTTTCCTTTCCCCCTAATTACAGGATATCTAATGAAAATGCAAGTGTTACAGAACAGCATGTTTTTTGAATGAAACTTGAAACAATGATAAGGCATAAAAAAGAAGCTGTTATTTTTCAGTGAATAAGAAATGCCTCTAGGAAAAGGCCAAATTGTGTTTAGTCGAATTCAATAGCTAAAGAGGAAGTTAAAGAAAAAAAAACACACAAGATTATCAGAAATTTGGCACTTTCATGACTGCCAATCCATTTTGTTACAAAAAGGAACATTGGAAATGTGCAAATAATGAAAATCCCAAAATCGTTTTTTTTATCCCATATTTTGGAAAGAGTCATAGATACTATGAGGATTGTCTTCAAAACCAAGAGCAGCAGAGAAGTCAACCTCAATATTTTTATTTTGCCTTTGAATTATTTGTCCTTTTGAGATTTTTATTTACAGAGAAACTACATATAGAGAAATTTGTAGAGAAATCGTGTGTAACTAAGCAGCAACCATAGAAAAGAACACAAGCAAAATATCATCTGCTGCTGACATAACTTGTTGAGAGTGCTGCTTAAACCATTTACTACCCCTCTCATAGAAGGGGGATTATTGACAGAAACCTTCTACATTTGGGCAAGACAACACAATACATAGCTAAATCCTGAAATAAAGATCTTGGAGCAAAAGAACAAGACCAGAATTTCGCAAAGACTATCTCTTCACTCTTAACATAACGACTTACAGTTTGGTGCTTTTTTTAAGGCAGATTGGTACATTAAAATAAGCCATTTTGGTCTGAAAAAGCATTCTTTATTGCTACTCCCGGCTGTGTTCCAAAGCCTCCTTTGAAAAAATCCCAGCTGTGTTTCTAAATATTTTCTACATCAGCCCAAACACTTCGCCCAAGGTCTGGCGCTGCAAGAGAAGCACCAAGACCAATGTCACTCCTATCACTCCCTTGTTCCAGAAATTGAAAAACTTAAACCTGATTGAGATTTAATTACAATGAGTGAAAGACATGATCAGTACAGATAATGCAAACCACCATTTCCCTTTTAAAAAAGATAATCCAAAGGGGAAAAAAAAAAAACACATGGAAAACGATGGGGCCATGCACCTGGCTGATGGTCAGCCTGAACCTATTCTCTCCTGCTCCCAAATAAAGCGGGATGAAAGGGTGGCAAGGAAAGGCGTCAGTGATTTTCCAAGGCACGCTTTCTTTTGATGAAAGTTGTAATGCATAATCAGGAAGAGACAGAGGAGGTAATCAAATATGGTTATCTCAAAATCATTATGACTGGGTGGGTTTTGGAGTGTGAATTGTTTGTTGGAGCCTACCCCTAAAATCCTAGCATTTGAAATAGAACAGATGTGTAAGATAACAGGAAAAAAAATCCAAAGCTGTTGTGACAAATTCTTAACCAATTTTTTTGGAGAGATTTAAAATAACATCGTTTCTGTTGCGTAGGCTGTGATCCTGTTGACGTCTGTGCTCAGTTGCCCAGCATTCTTTCATATACATAAATGAAAGGTATTTTTGGTGGAAGGAAGCATGGTCAGTGTGTCTGATTGGTAAAATAACTTGAAATCACATTTCTACAGTAACTTCCAACTGCCCTAGAGCACGAGTTAATGAGATCACATGGAAACATATTGAGAACCAGGAAACATATTTTGCACAAGACCAAAACAGTGGAAAAAATCTTGAAAACACAACATAGCGGGGCTCGGCGCGCTTCACCTTTGCGTTACCACACAGGAATGCTGGGCGCCTTCTCCCTGATGACAGCAAAGCGCGCAGGGGTGGCCCTCTCTGTGCCCAGGTGATAAGGGTGTGCTTGGCCACACTGTGTAATTACTGAAGTTCTAGGCAAAACACAGTACCTCTCCGCCTCAAAAAAGAATAAATAAACAAATAAATAAGGCTCGGGCAGAGCAGAGGGGAGGTGGCCACGGCCAGGGAGGAAGAGGAGAGCTGGGGCCACACTGGCCCCACGCAACATGCTGCAACTCGGAGCACTGCACGTGGTTCCCTTTCAGCCCTTGCAGGCAGCAAGAGGCAGAGGGGGGCTGGCTGGAGAGGCATGGGGCGGGCACAGTTGAGCACCAATAAGGGGTCAACAAGGAAAATATTCTAGCTCTGAGTCCCCTTTTTTAATTTTAAAGAAAGCAGCTTTTTTTTTTTTTATTAAGGAAATAAAAAGAAAGACAGAGCAGATGTACTCAGGGAGGAAGAGGAAAGGGGGCTGACATCAGGCTCGTGGCCAGGCTGGCACATTTTGGGAAAGCCAAGCTCTTCACTGCTGCGCATACAATCTAGGAGGACTTCAAAATGCAGACCAGAAGCAAAACTGAAAGAGAAAGTAACAGATGGCAGCTCGAATTCTGTGGTGTTTCCTATACAGGATCATCGCCTCATAAATAAATGCAATGATGTATTACTTATTATGGCCTTATTATTTTTTGGATGGATTGTTTTTCAAACAGAGATTAAAGTGGTGAAGAAAGGAAAGAAAAAACACTGTCCAACAGATAAAGAAAAGATAACTGATAAGGAGCCTTCAGATGAAGTGGAATTTCCGATGACTTGAGGTAGATGCTGAAGTAATGCACAAGACAGCCAAATTTCTGTTCTGTTTGTATTCACTGCCTAAAACATAGAAATATAAACGGCCTGGTAACAGCCACAATAACAGAAGCGCCTCTTAGGCTTGCAACAAGAAAAATGTTAAGACGTGATGAACTAGGTAAGTAAAACCAAACGTTAGACAGTACCAAAAGGTCCTGCTGCCGGAAAGTTTCTGAATACCTCCATATTCATCATTTCTCAACCACTGGAACTGAGACTTGTCGCTTGGGAAATGGATGCCCCACTGCCCGTTACAACCCAGATGTGGCTGGTTCCTTGAAGAGGAGGTTTTTGTTTTGTTTTGTTAAATCTTCAAGGTTTTACTCACAGTTACACCACACAAACAAGAGACACGGCATCACAAATAAATAAATAAATGAATAAATAAATAAATAAACCAATAAATAGATGGAGTGAGTGGGGAGATTCGACTGGAAGCAGCAAATGAAATAGGAAGGAGAAGGAAAAGTGATCAACAAAGAGATTAGCAGGATTCTCCTCGAATTCGGACGCCTTACCTCATGTAGGATGTAGGAGACAGGGACTTTGGTTTGGCCCACTGGTACGGGTGCTGTGGCACAGACAGGTACTGCTCGCAGAAGTTTCCTTTCCTGATATGCTGAAAGCTGGAGAAGTCTTCTGGTGATAGATCAGCAGTTGGTGAGATGGTCCCATGCTCCTCGCCAGCCGGTTCGGTTTTGAGAGTCATGGAGGGCGTGTGATCGATGGCCGTCTTCCTCGACTTAATGGGAATCCCGTCGTTCATATCGATGGTGCTGTCGGTGGTGAGCGCGTTGATGGCGGCCACGATGGCGGAGCTGGTGTACTGGTTGGTGTTGCCCAGCCAGGTGTCGTCCGTGACGCTCACGCGCGGCGAGCCCTGTGGCGAAGGCGTGGGGGAGTGGTGGGGCGAGTAGGAGGTCTGCCTACCGTTGAGGCTGTACTTCCTCTTGTTGCAGGGAGATGGTGGCCTGGAGTTGCGAGCCCCCAGCCAGCTTTCCTCCGTGATGCTCGTGCGAGGAGACGTCGACGGAGAGTGCCTCGGTGAATTGAGCAGAGTGCAGGCCACCATGCCGCGCTGGTAACCTTCCTCGGTGTCCGTGGTCTTCGGAGAGACGCATGGGGACTGCCACGGGGAGGTCTGGGGCGAAGTGTACGGGTATGAGTAGTTGGACTCATAGGAAGAGGCTTCGGAGTTGCAGCTTCTGGAAGACAAGCTACTCGCTGGACTCAGGCACGACGGGTCTCTGTACGCCTCGATGTTCGGCAAGTTCAGTGTGGCAGTGGAGGGCGGTCGCTTTGCGTTTGGGATGGCCTCCTCCACCTCATCGTGGAAAAACTGGCTGTTGTTATGGTGAAGTCCCATGTAAGAAGTGATCTCAATTCTGGGACTCTCTAGTGCTGGAGCTCCATTGGGTCTGATGTTTGGAGGCAGGTAATATTCAGAGGCTCCGCCATCAATATGTCCTCCATATCCAGCAGGATGATTTGTTGATGGGACAACTGAAATGACTGGATTTGATGTCTGAAGGCCATGACATGGAGTAGACAATGAGGAATGTGCCACATTTAGAGGCAAACCAGCATTTACATTTGAAGATGTGTAATTATAGTGTTCTGGAAGAAACAAACAAACAAAAAAGAATGATATGAAGTGCTGCACATACATGCTCCCTTAGTAGAACACCAAGCTGGCATGGAGGAACACAACACAACAGACAAAGCACGGTGCTCCGTTACACCCCAGAGGACAAGCACGCACAGTGTTAGATCAGAAGCCAAAGATTAGCATCCTTGAAAGTGCTGGCAAATTAGCAGCACAGAATAAGCTATCTGGGAGGAGGGGGAAGGTGGTATGTGGAATGATGTTGCCTCAAAGGCACTCATTTAAGTCTTAAGAACATAACTCTGTCTTCAAGCAGTACTCCAGCATTCAGAGACTGCAGCGCTATCCAAGAGACATACTCTTTTACGTAAGTGAGCCTATCTCACTCCCTGCAAAGCTGGAATACACAAAATAGGGAAGAGATAAAAAGTGGAGGCAGACCAAATCAAAGAACATGATCAAATGCACTCTGTTTCAAAACAAAGCAAAAATCCCGAGATTTCCATTACAGAGAGTTTCCAACTGGTTCCAGTTAACTAGACTTTTGGAACAAAACAGATCTATTGACCTGCTGTGGTTTCCAAGATAATTTATTCTCCAGCCTAACCAGCAGAGACCAAGTGAAGGATAAACAGGGATATCCTAGTAGTCCAATGACTGAAATGTCATTGAAGTTGTTAGTTATTACCAACAGAGCTGGTTGAGCACTGCCAGCACATTCCAGGCCACCAGTTATTGTAAACATGTCCATGTCACCATGTGCAACCACTCACATCTCTGAGGGTATTAAAACAATAGCATTGTTACACAGATGGTGCAGAAAACCTGACAAGTGATAGACCAACTGCAGACTCTCGCTGACGGTCTCCCTGAGCAGGCACAGGGGAACAACTCCAACCTCCACATGCCTTAGTCTCTGCTGCGCTACGTCCTGAGGCAAGTATGAGACTGTCCCTTCCAGTCCCCTGCTGCTGGTGTTCCCAGCACCCCAGGATTGCTTCAGCTCCTACCCTGAGGACCAGGCGCAGGTGTCTCTGACATCCAGAGATGCCCACAGAAAGCAGCACGGAGAGGAGACCACACGGCGTCCTGCACGTGGAGCTGGCTGCCTGCTCCCGTGCAGGGAGTCTCCCGCGGCGCTGGCCCATGCCCACCTGCCCTGCTGGGATGAGGACAACCCGCCTTCACCCCCGTGGCTGGCACTCCTGAGGCAATGCTGCCTGAGCGCTGCGGATGCAAACGTGCCTCCAAGGGGGACGTGCCAACGCCAGCGGCTATTCCCTTTCTGCTGCTTAGCGGCTCGGCCCTCTCTGGTGTCACCCTTCGCCTCTCGCATTTCTCACCCACGGTGAGGCCAAGAAAGAAAAAATAAATAAATAAATAACCCCTCTTTAAGCGATTTCACAGTATCTCCGTGACATTCTAGCCAATTCATGTCACAGCAGGTAACAATCACACGCAACGTGAAATACCACCTTCCGTGCCTTCAGAAATCAGGCTTTCACTGAGGAGAGTTCATTAGATCATGCCAAAAGGCACCACAATCAAAACTGGATTGTGCAAAACATGTTGCAGCTTCACACACTAGTCAAACACCAATGACAGCAGGAAATAAGAGCTGTGTAAAAAGATGAGCTTGGAAAAGAGTGATCCGATCACAGGGATCGTGGCGAGGGCCACATCTGCCAAGGGATCTCTTTTTCCCATATCCGTCCCCCTTCCCGGCCATCCTGATGCATGGTGACACTGCACACAAGCATCACTCCTCTCCTCCAGCTCTTCGTGGGGGTGGGGTGAAGAAACATGGTGCAACAGGTAGCACTGGGGTCACCTCCGATTTGGAAATGCCGCCATAGAGGATTTGCCCGGGCCTCCCAAACGGCCTTGACTCCTTCACAGCTTCTCCCAACCCCGGAGGAGGTGCAGGTGCAGGTCCCCAGGGCTGCTGCAGCTCCGCTCCCACCTAGAGCTGCACGAGCTCCAGACGGGCATCCAGAGCAGGTGCCATTGCAGGACCTAACAAGAGGCCCACATTTATTGCAAAAACATGAGGGGGGGGTTGACCTGCATGAGAAAAACATCACAAACTGTCATGTCCACTGTACTGTGGAAGCTATCGCACAATTAGGGTGAAATTGAAGTGCTGAAGTCTGCTGGAAAACTCCAGCCCAGGCTTAACATGCAATAGAAAACCTCAGGCTGGCCTTGTGTATCCAGTTATAAAAAAAAAAGGAGGTAAAACAAAACAAACAAACAAAAGACAGCTCCCAGTGCTAAAAAATAAATAAATAAATATAAAAAAGCGATCAGTGCTCCAAGCAACAAGCTCTCCTAATGTTCTTTTAGGGCCCTGTAAATAATGCATATTTTTAAGAAGTCAATTTTTAAAGGGCAAAGGAAAACAACATATGTGATGCAACTTCTCACACCATCAAACATGAAATTGAAAGAAGGAACATCCAGAGCCTTCCAAATGTATGCCTTTGACTTTCAGACAACCTTTGAAAATTACCAAATACAAACATCCAAAAGCAAGAACACGACCAACTCCTTGGTTTATAAGATAAAATAATAAAATACAGTTCCATTGCTTGAAAAAAATAGAAAGCACATTGACTTCTGTATTTACAAAATTCATCAAAGACATACAAGTTCAGTGTTCATCAACAGGCTGATGCCTCTCCTCACAAAGGTGAGTAAGGATAAAACAGAATTAAAGGACAACCTCAGGAGGGAAGGGAGGCAGAGGTGGCTACAAAGGCACCAAAGGACTCCACATAGCTCAGCTGCACAGAGTATTTTGGCAGTACTGGAAGGGATAAAAGGGAGCCAACGCCTTCCCCCTGCTCCCAAATACAGAGGCTGACTGAAGTACCTGGGGCTGCAGCCTGCGGCGGCGCCGGGCTCAGCGCAGCCTGCACAGGCACTACCCTGTACAGCTTGGAGCAGGACCCCTTCCATGCTGCTTCTTAATGCCTTGAGCTACCCTCTGGTTTGGGGTAGGTTAGCACGATCTGCATCACTTCTGCTGCTGACAACTCCATGTTTCCACTGAGGGTAACCAGGAGCAGAAACTGCCCCCCTCACTTTGTGACTGCTCTTTTGCAGGTTGAGTTTCACTTGGCAATAAGAAAAAAAAAAAAGCCAAATTATGTTTTCCCTAATCAAGCTCACAGCATAAAGGCTCCCTTCCTTTCTACTCCAACGGACTCACCCTGCAAAGCACTGAGCACTGTCTGCTGTTTATTCCCTTTAAATAGGAGTGCTTGACACCTGTGGCTTGCCAAGGCTTTAGAGAAAGCAGAGTCTAATTAACACTTCCAGAGATGAATCGAGTTCTACTTCTGTGCTTAAATTCATGCCTTCAGAACTGCCTAATAGAATTAGGTACTTTTCCTCACTTGGGTACAGGCACTTCGTTTTCTTTAGGCCCCTCCAGTTGCCAGGTGTCTGGTTACCAGGACACTCATCTGAAAGCCTGGTGCGCGGCTCTCGAAGCCACGCGTTTTCCAGAAGCCACAAGAATTGGGAACAACCGCTTGGAAGCACAAAACGCGCTGGAGACCAGGGCAACAGGGGGCAATAGCAAGTCAGGCACCACACGGGAGCTGTGTCATGGCAGGTTGCAATCTGCAGGCAAGGACCAGGGAATGTCCTTCATCTAAAGGCAAAAGCTGCAGGGAGGCTCCGAAGCACAGACCGTCTAGCTCTAAGAATGCATTAAGTCATCTCCTTATATATAAGGTTTCCTCTGGTGACCCGCCACTGGCGAAGCGGTGACAATCCATCTGATAGCAGGAAACAATGACAACTTTATTTTTCTCTTTTCCCTCTGCCCTGGGTCTCAATTTCGGCCTCACATGCCACCTTTCCCCCATCAAGGATTGTCAAAAGTCCCAAGAAAGGGAGTGCAACGCAGAGACGTAGGACTCAGGACCTGCGTGACCTGCGGTAAAATCAGGCCCGTTATTTTTGCTTAGCAATGACCTTCAACTGAAACCCCGCGTCTAAATAGCTCCAACTTACGGGAAGGGCGGAGAGGGGAGGAAAGAAAAAAAAAACAAATAATGGAACAGAGAGGCAAGCAGCAGAGCCACGTTTTGCAGGAGCCCCGGCACAGGCGGGCGATGGCAGTTTGGCAGGACCGCGGGGTCCCGGCTGGCGGCTCGGGGGGCACCGGGCCGGCTGGGGCCGGGGACAGCT